TGGTTAATGTTGGTTTTGGAGCCACAAATGTGGCAAACAGTAACTGAAAATGAAATAAAACTAGACACAAACACAAAGATCCCACATGGCACATGAACCGCAGTCTGCAGGCTGTTGTCTGCCATATTTAAGGGAGCGATGTTGGCAGCCATTTGGGCTGATGTTGTGATCGTGCAGTAATAAAGTAACAGAGATCAGCAGAGATCTCATTTATCTTGTGTCTTGGTGTCTCTGTTCCCACATCTTACTAACTTGTCTGCAGTCAGTATTATTTTTCCCAACCAGCATCACCAGCAGAGCACCTTAAATTTCCAACAAAACCCAGACACATTTACATCGGCGACTGTAACATATGAGGAAATCGTTCCACAAACAAACATGGCTGCTAAGATGACACGATTTTAGCTAGAGCTAATTACATCAAGCACAGATAGCAGCTAGCTCTGTACAGTAGCTAACTAAACTAGCAGGTAGGAGAATATGAACAACAGTATGTAACTAGTTAGCTTTTAACGCGAGCACGTTTTAACATTAACAGCTAACTCGACAAGTTCTTGTTTGGTAACCTGTCTGTTATAAGATAGGAGGGTTCCTGAAGACAAAACACCTGCAGCTAAGAGTTAGCTTACAATTAGCCTCAAGCAATGGAAACTGTAGCTGGTTTAATTGAAGGCTAACGATTATAAACTCATCAGCAAGAATTGATTGAAGCTTAAAATGTTAATTTGGCTGCTGTATGAGAAGAGTCTCAATGCTAATAAAACATAAAATTCTAAAGATGAAACAAACTGAAATGAACAGTTTTCTTAAGGATTGGTGGCCGATTACAAAAGTTTCCCTTCTTTTTGCTCTGGACATGGTTTCAATCAGGCAGCGCATATATTAAAAATAAAACTGAATCAAAGTCCTGAAGCTATGCAGACTCCTCTGATCCAATAAAAATCTCTACTCAGTTTTCCAGCACAGTGATTATAGATTCATTTATATTTACAGGAATGAACTGAGGCACAATCAATGTCTCAGTATTTTGACTACTTTATAAAACCTCGTAAATCCACATTTAAGTCACTTTGAGTCTCAGCAGTTCAGGTGAGTGCGTGTGAGGAACCTGAACATAATTTTGACACTGGGGTTTGCAACAACAGCTGTGACAACAACACTTCAGGACAAAGGGGAGTCCCCTGGAAGACATGCTGATGGTTTCTGTTACACTGCATCACCTTGGTGTGTTTTTTGCTTTGTTGATGTCACAGATTGAAAAGCAGTTCCCTAAAGAAAATTTAAAATGAAGTCCCGCCTTCAGTTCTGGCCAATCAGATCCCTGTGCGCGATGGGGTCATCAAAGATCCTCATCCATGCTGAAGCTGCTCCTTCTGCTGCTGGTCTTCGAAGCTCCGCAGGACAGCAGAGGGTCGGACATCACTCCTGCCCCGCTCCCGTCCTCCATCAGGAGGCCCCCCAGGCCGTTCAGGTCAGTCAGCCCCATGTCAGACATCAGGTCTGGGGAGAAAACAGTGGCGGCTCCCTGAGACTCATCCAGGTCCGTAAAAGTCAGAGCATCCAGACCCAGAGAGGGAGTCACCAGGGAGGAGGAGGAGGGGGAGGAGGAAGAGGAAAAGGGGTGAAGCAGTGGAGGAGAGAGCAGGGTCTGGGGGTCCAGAGAGGAGGAGGAGGACTTCGGGGGAGGTGAGTTGGAGGAGGAAGAGGAGAGGCCATGGACGCGAGCCTGAAGCTCCAACTCCTGCAAAACAAAGAAATTAGAGTTTGTGAAGCTGCAGCTACGTCCATGTGATGGACAAGGACAGTAACTCAGACCACCACCACACCCCGCCCCCTCTGCTCACCTGTATGCGGAGCATCAGCGAATGGTTGGTGCTCTCCAGCCTCCTCTGCCTCTCCTCCATCTCTCGGGCTCTGTGCTGTTCCTTCTGCAGCTTGCGGATGTAATCCACCGACGCCTTCAGGATGGTTCCTTTGTTCCACCTCGTCTCACTAAAACACCAATCACATTCAGTGCCTCGTTAACACACGGCAGGATAACGAGGTGCTGCTGCCAACACGTACAGACATGAGTGCTGAACTAAAAGTAAAGTCTATGTAACAATATATATCAAATTTCAATTTCAAATAAAACTTACAAAGATTATTTAAATGGAAAAAGTCAGCTGTATCACTTTAAATAAGCCAACATCTCACTGATTAATCAAGTGCAAAATCTGTGCCTTTGTCTCTGTAGCCTCTTTATGTCTCTGCTTTTGTTGTACTACTGGTACCAGCAGGAGTGTAAGTGTACAGAGTGTGAGTGTGCAGCGTTTACTAACGGGTCAGAGGATTTAGGGATCAGAGCTCCGAGTTCTTTGATCCGGTCATTGATGTTGAAGCGCCGCCTCCTCTCGACTGTAGGAACACATCGACATTATTTTAGCGTGCAGATGTCAATGCATTCGGCAGGAGTTATACAACTCTGCACGGGAAAACTGTTGCAATAAAAGCAGCAACAGAAGCATTTTGAAACCAAAGGTGACAAAAAAAACCAGGAATAAGAATCAGACAGTCAGCAGATCTCAGGCTTCAGTTAGGACAGATACGTGCCTTCAAATCATCTGCATCAAATTTGAATTTTTACATCAAATATCAAAGTTTTCCTTTAGCAATACTGATTGTTTCTGACCCTTAAAAGTTCACTTCATGGCGTCACGCACCTCCCCCCCACCCCACCTCCAACTGGTGTTTTTTTTTTTAATGAAATGCTCCCAGTCACCAGTTTCACTTCTTCAGCTATGAGAGAACAATCAGATGAATGAGTCTCGATCGGATGTTCTCCACATCTTTTATTACAGACGGAGAAAATTCTCTGTTCCCTGCTTCAAACCGAGACGCGCTGCAGCAGAGCGGTATGTGACGCTCTCTCTCACCTGAAGTTATCTGCTGCCAAGCAGGGCGCGGCTCGAGGCTGGCTCCGAAAGTGAGCCAGTTCTCTTTAGACTTCGTATGGGGGCGGGAGGATGCTAGGACTTCCTTCTGCTAACTGGAGTCAATGAAGTGGAAGCCTAAACTGTTTGTGCTTTTGGAGCATTTAAATTATACTATGTGACAAATATACGACTTACTGTGAAGTACGGATCATCCAGGAGGTTTGTGATATAGTTTTAGGGAGTCACAGTGTTTTATCAGTCTGTGCTGGGCTGATATCTCTGCCTGTGCAGGATACCTGCACACTTCATTGATGCAACTTCCTAACAAAGCTCAGTGTTCACACTGACAATAAACTGGGCTTCACTGCAAACTCTGAAGCCCTCAACAAAGACTGCTGAGGATCTTTAACATCTGCTGGATGATGCTCAGGATGTTTTATGAGTCTGCAGTGGCCACAACAGACTCAATAAACAGATCCACAGTCCAGTAACTTTGTGGATGTGGAGGTGACAGAAAGGACGTGTTAAAACATAGAACGTCACACCTGTGACCACCTCCGCCTCGTAACACTGTCATGACTTGTATTTTGTCTATATTGAACATGATATTTATGATGTGAATATTTAAACTGAATTGAAGATTTAGTAGTTTAATTTGTTTTTAATAATCTTTTATAGAGAGTTTATGTTTCTTACTGCTTTTCTTTTAAGACGCGTTTTCCAGTCGGCTCAGACCGACCAACATGCTGCGAAGTAGCCAAAGATTTCTCTCTATAGTGGAGCGTGCACGTGTGTCGGCACAAGTATGTCAGTCAGTTTTGTAAAACTGAAGCATGTCAGGAATCAGAAACACCTGAAACCTGCAGGTTCACATCTACCTCTGAGATCTGCTGAAAGAATGCCACACAGTAACACACAAATATTTTATTGGCTGGTGAAGTAATACTGCCGTACTCACTGAGGTTGTGATTGTCCTTCTTCTGTCTTTCTTTAATCAGAGCTTTGGACTCCACCTCTGCAACAACAACATCAAAAATCAATCGCAATCAATATTCGATTGATCAATCATGAGTTCATCGTGAGTGACTTTTCTCTGCTGCAGCCACAGCTGTCAGTTCTGTTTCATGTGTTTTTTAATGTCGCTTGTTTTGTAGCGTAGAAACAGCAGAATGTCAGTTTCAGCTTGGACAAAAAGTTCATGTTGACTGAACAGGAAGTTGGAACTGATGATGTGGGAAAATACGAGTGGCTGCCGTGGCCGTGTGTGCGTGTTCAGAGGAAGTCGTGATGTTGACTCATCAAAATTAAGAACACATTTTCAGCCAGGAGGAACAAGAGGGAAGCACAGAGGGAAACACAGAGCGAAGGGCCTCGCTCCCGGCACCCTGGAACGATGCAACGCGACGACAGACACAAATCGTCGTGAAGGAGCAGCCAATCACAGCAGCTCACTCCTGCAAGGAGTCTGTGTTTTACAATGCTTTCATCTGAAAAGCTTTCACGTAAACTGTGTTTGTGGTCACTGTGACGCCCCCTGCAGGTGATTTAATGCACTCGGAAGACCTCAAAGTCTAATCAGAGGCTGCATATTTATAAGTTTCTGTCTGCAGCTCGAGCTCCTGGAAATCACGTATGGTGAAAATGCTTCCTTGTCCAGCTGACAAACATCCTCTTTGATGAGAAGTCTGCAGGTTCACAGCCTGACTGATGCATAACTGCCAAGTAGCAACTCCAGGGCTGAAAACTGAAGCCAACACAGCAAAGCCCAAAATTGCCGTTCCCCTAATGACCACTTAAAGCTGGCTCCAAAAGCAAGTAAACCCTACAGACCTCCGTGTTGAAATGTCCAGCTTCAGAGCAGAAACAAACATCTTTACAGCCTGAAACAACAAATGATGTTGCTGCGAATTGCACTCGCTGAAATGGAATAATACTGTGCAGTGTGGTACTACCCTTCTAGCATTTTGTTCATCTGTTAGCGCCAATTAACAGCTCGCTAACCAAGCTTGCTAGGTTTAAAACTTAGCACTCCCTCCTCATATCCAAGTACGGTTGCTTCTGGCTCCAGAAAGATAGCAACCCAACGTGATGAAGCTAAAGCACAAAATGCAGAGTCCACAAAGCCCAACTGTCCATCATCTTTCATCTACAGTCTATGGTATCTGGTAACATGTAACCTGAGTGTGTGATATTTACCAGTCAGCTCTCTCTTGACGGCATGCAGGTTGGCCGGGCAGCTGTTACTAATGGTAAGCGTAGGCATGGTGTTCCCGACGCTGCCACCATACCCGTCCAGCAAGTTCTCAGGATCAGGGAGCTGCATGGACCAATCAGAGGACAGAATCAGATGAGTGACAGGTAGATTATCCCCCCTCCTCCTGTCAACAGCGAAGTCCAGAAAACACAAATTTATGCACAAACACACATACACGTCACTCTGGTGAGTCTGAGCAGCTAACCTGCTGTCACAGAGGTCAGAGGTCACAGTTTCTGCAATTAGCTGCGGTTAAATAACATGGAAGTCAAACCACCACCGTGGATGGACTACTGAGCAACTGGACACTGAATCAGGAGCCTCCAGTTAAGTGTTCCGCGACAACTTTAAAACCACGCTGAACTAAAACTGTTTTTTCCTGAGCTCTGTGTAGCCGATGAACTGTGGAGCAGAAATAAGGTCTGACTTTTCTGTCAGCTCTCATCAACTAAAGTCAGAAACTGAGGAATCTGCTGATCGAACAGGAAGCTGTGCTAACAACTGGCTCGCAGATAACAGGGACAGAAACAGAAACCAGCTCCTCCCGGCCTGGACGGTCTGTTTGGGGATGAATCTCCTCTACGGGTCATTTTTAAGAGCTTCATCAACATTTTAGCTTCTTTATATTTTCATTTGAGATCAAAATACAAAAATGACAGTAAATCAGGGCCTGGCTGTGAGTTTTATTTCATGCTATTTTATACAAATAACCTAAAAAAAAATTATTTATTTTTAACCTTATTTTATTGTCATTTTAATTGTATTTGGTTACTCTTTGGAACTAAATCTTTACTTACTATAATTATGCTGAAAAACTGTACTGTGTCAAAGTTTACCAAGAAAAGAGATTTTATAGCGACATTTGAGGTTCAATCGTATCTGAAGTCAAAGGTTTCCAATCATCATTTCCACTTCTTGGACTCAACTAAAGTAGCTGTGACTGCTTCCGTCCAAATGATCTAATAATCCACACTTTCTTCTGACTGGCCGGCTTCCAGCAGCCTACAGAGGGGCAGCACTGAGTGCTAGCTGTACTTGGTGGCTGTGCTTTGTTTTTTGTGCGTGACTGCATAAAATATATAATATAAAATAACTCGAGCAATATGAATCTCGTTCATAATTAATATGAACATCAGGCTTTGTAACATCACATATATGACAGAAAATACTGGACGAGTGGAACAATTCCTCTTTAAACTGGGATTTACTACAAATTCAGTTCCCTACCACACAAACCCAGTTAGCGATATCATTAGTTTATGGGTACCCTCGATTTTAACTAAAAGATTTCTTAAAATATGGAATCAGAGCGCATTAAGAGCACAGCCAAAGCTAAAACAGCCTGAAAGAGGAAGAAATGCAAATCTCGCCAGACCACAATACAAACCAAGAAGTTGATCTTTATTAGAGAGGCGGGTGAAATGAAAGCTAACTGCTGACATAATTCCAGCACAGAGAAAAGTATTAATTTAGATTAATACATTTTAAATAATAGCCGAGCACTTTCTTTTACTGCAGCGACTTAAACTGTAAGTCAGACAACAAATCAGCCGCTGAGTTTATCTTGTGTTGCAGCCTGTTGAGCAGAAACTTCAGTTGAATGAATGCTGACTGACTACCGTGCGTATCGGCACAGCCCTGCAGCTCAGAGCTCCTCTTATCATCTTTCTAGGAAACGCCAGCTTTCCTTAAGAACTCAAATTTAAACAGCAGGCACTTTCAAAAGAAAAATCTGATTCTGGGCACCAAAGGGAGCAGGAAACATCTGGAGGCTACAGCCAAACTGCAGCAGATTTATAGAGAAATTACAAGAAAGGTTTCCAGAGAATGAAAAAAAGTTAGGATTAAACAGATAAGCCTATAAAACATTTAAAAAGCAGCTGAGAGTGATGTGTTTAAAGTATAAAAACAATGCAAACCAGCAGACACGGCATCAATCTGGATGAATAACCCAGTTTTAATCGGTTTTCTCTTTAAGGCGACTATGCTGCATTTCCTCAATGAGCAGCTGCAGTCCAGAGGTCAGAGGTCAAACTTTCCCCAAACTCAAAAAATACAAGCTGGACATTTTACCTCTGATTTAATCCTCCTCTTCTCATGGTCGGGCAGTAACACCAAAATCCTCATCTTGCTAATTGCACACAAACACACATGCAAACAAACACACACACACACACACACACACGGACAGACACACAGCGAGTCGCTGAGCTGCTGCTGAGCTTCCCCTTTCTGTTCAGACAACTGTTTAAAAATGAGGAAACGTCTCTTTAAGAAAGAAAGCAAAAAAAGAAAACTCCCAGAGAGCTTTATTATCTGCCTGACACACGCACCGTGTGTCTCCACCCACAAAAACGAGGAAGTCTGGAAAGCTGAACTGATACTCTGTGACAGCCTCTTCCACCTCCACTGTCACTGCAGCTTCACACATACGAAACATCTGCATTTCCTCCAGGTGATGGCCAGCAGGGGGCGACAGAACCCACACAAAAAAGTCAGGCTGTATTTAGATTACCTTAATTCTGCCTTGATTCTTTGCCTCAGTAATGTTCCTGATGAGTTTTCTAATCTGACATGTTGTCAAACATGTGGCTCGGGGGCCAAAACTATCTCACCAATAGGACAAATCTGGCCCACAGCAGCTGTACAGCAGTCGTACAGCAGTCATTCATAACACCAAAGTCTTTCAGCTGTGAGGACAGGAGTGAAAATATTTGGATAATGAATTAAAACTGAAGTTAATTCATTTAAATGAGCTTTAACCATGGAGTGAAATAGTATTATTGTTTGTTAAAACTTTAAACCAGAATGAAAGCCAAGGGCTGACGCTGAAATGAAACTGGGCCACTGAGCTGCTCACAACATTGCTGAGATCCTGATTATTTAATATGATAACCCACAGACTTAAAAACTTTATTAAAGACTTAATAAAATATATAGAAATATACTGAAATTTCATCAAAATAAACTAAATTAAAAACATGTGTGAACTGAATTAAACATGAGTCAGCCTGCAGGGAAGTGAAACTGGACTTTATATCCGAGTATGTAATACCAACGTGTACCACAGGAGAGGTCAGCCAACCAGTGTATCATCCATCCAATCTGCCCTGAGCACAACATGAGAAACAAAGGAAGCAGCAGCTGTAAAGGACAGGCGTTTGAGTGAATGGCACATCAAACAGTGACTGAAGCACCTGGAAAGAACTCCTTTTCACCACCAGCACAAACTCTCAGAAAGAACCCACGCTCGATTGCAGAGAAGAGATCAAATCTAGAGCGAAACAATAACAAAAACCGGAGTAGTTTTCCACAGCTACACTAAAAGCCTCTGATATAAAAAGCTGCCCCCTGGTGGTGAAAGCTCAAGTTACATTTTTGCAGAGGGTAATTTTAAAAAGTTCCTCGTTAATAACTGAACAAGGGAACAGGGTTGTATTTCCCAACGTGACCTGATGGGGGCAGTGTTGCTTGAGCTCAGACACGATCATCAGAAGTGGGTTTGGTTTGTTTTATTGTTACAGTAACACGTCACAGCTCCAGCCGGTGTGGTGTTTTCCTTCATGTTGGAGGGTATTGAGGAGGCGGATGATGATGATGATGATGGGGAGGAGTTTGTTTCTGTTTGTCGGTTAGTCATCACGTCGTTTAAAAGTAAAACCAGAGAATGCACCGTGTGATGTTTTCGAGTGTGTTTGTGCACGTGTTGCGTTACCGTGTTGGCGAGCTGCAGCTCCGAGTCGATCAGCGTCAGAAACTCGTCGTTCAGGCTCGAATCCAGGCTGATGATGTCATCGACGATGATGTCTTCTACCTGAATGAACCAATCACAGAGCAGATGAGCATTGTGTCACCTCGGGTAATTAGTGTGAATGCTATTTAAGCATTAACAGTATTAACAGTATAGCTCCTTTGATCGGCTCCATCACCTAGTGGGGGTGGGGGGGTCATAGTTTGGTCCCGCCTTCACTGTTGTGATTGGTGTGGGGGTAGGGACAGGCTTAGGGCGTCGGGGGGGTTCCCCGGAGGCATCTTCCTTGGGGGGCTCAACCCGGGGTAGCGGTCATGTCCGGTT